GGATGACTCGGTTATCTCGTTAAAACAACTCTTGCAACAGTTACATCCTTCTCGCAAAGCATCCTGTTGCTTCAACATTTCGAGTATGTGCCAAGCAACAGCCTCTCCTTCACGATCAGGGTCCGATGCAAGAATCAGATTTTCTGCTCTGGAACAACCGATAGGAGAGATGAGAATTGAATAAACAGAGTAGCAACTCGAGCAAACAAAATCAAGAAAGTGAAATCTGTAACATGGACACGCATACCCACACAGAGCAACCTTAATACTCTTGAGATGAGACCACGCAGCGGAAGGAACTTCCCACACCATACTGAAATCTTTTTCAGGTCGTACAGATCCCGATCTTGCAGCCAAATCTCTAACATGGCCGTAACTCGGGACAACCTCGTACATTTCACCAAGATATGCTTGAATCACTTTTGCCTTTGTGGCAGATTCCACCACTACAACAGATTTAGCAACAGGTGGATACAATTGATTCCAAACTTTTTGGCCTTGAGGCTTAGTTTTATCGATTACCCGTGAATCTTTTGGCTCTGTAAGTTCCTCGTTAGATTTCGGAGAAGAATGTGATTTTGTTTTCGATTTTCCCTTTTTAGTTGAGCTCCTTGCATTCTTCTGGACAATCTCGGTCGAAATATTGCTATCAACCGATTCTGTTGTATTTGAAGTCGAATTAACCTGCATCGCAGTTAGTTAAAATGGTAATAAGTCCGTAACTAAAATTTCAATTAGGCTAGAAGATAGGCAGCTTCTAACCTCTAACGAAATCGGAGTTTTTTGGCTTTTGTTATTCCTAGTCTCCTTCGCTTGAGAAATCTTTCCGGGGTTATTTGGCATGTCTGATGTGTCAACAGAACCAGCACCGGACGACTGATTTTGCATTTTCTTGCTCCTAGATTGCTGCTTCGATTTCGCTTTGCCTTTTGGTATGTGTACATTTTTTTTTCTGACTAAGGATGTCTCATTATCCTCGTTAACTATTTTGAATAAATTGTTCATCTCACTGCTCCGACTTTCTGTCGTAACAATATTAATTTCGGCAATTGCGATTGGCATCTGAGAAAATGATCTGCTACTACTACTACAATAATTTGAGCACATTCCACCACTTAATAATCCGTAATAAGAAGCATTTACGGGCACTTTAAACGCAGAAAAAGAGGGATGCGTATTAGCAAAACTTCTTAGTGGATGAATCTTCTTTTCTGGCTTGTTTCCGAGAGGAAAATTAACAGATTTCTCAACATTTGCAGATAAACACTTTAAAAACATCCGATGATAATTTCTCAATGATCGATTCTGCAACTAAACAGACACAAACGAAAACTAATAAACACAAAATTTAACAACAAAACTACACAGACACAAAAATAATCTTTCGCGACGAGTCTACACCATATAAGAAACAGTAAATTTGTTGATCCACGGCAATAACGGAAAAATCGATAAACCCCAAACAGAGTATCAGTCTAAACATGCACTTAAAAAGCAAGTTAGTTATACATTCGCAATCAAATCGAACAAAACGACCTCCACAAAAGACCTTCGTGTTTTCATTCCACATTTATCATTTCAGAAAGAAAAAAAAATTAACAACAGAGTATTAATATACATATATAAATCAGGTCCCATAGAAATTTCTCACAATGAAATGGTTTTGATCAACAACAAAATTGAACTCTGACCTGAAAAACTCGGCCATGTGACCTCGCCATGCCGATAACCTTTTCTCCCACTGCATGCTTGATCAGTACCTGTCGTTCCAAGGTGAACAAAATTCACCTCAAAAGTTCAATTTTAAACACTTTTCGTCCATTCCGTCACCTGTTGGCTGTTCACATCTAGCGGAAGATGCTATTTTAGTATCGAAATTAAAATTTTGAAATTTTTTTGGGGCTGAAAAATAATTGGAAATGAGAATGCTCGTCCCATGCATGCAAATACCGCGCGCTTTGCACCCTCCGCATACATGTCACGCTAGCTTCGTTTATGGTACATCATATTCTCTGATCACATACTTCGACGTAATCAATTTTTCTTCGGTATTACTAGTTGATATTGCAGCTCAAAAGCTTACACTTGTAAGATTAACAACTAACAACTTTAGGCAATCTTCTTTGGACGAGCTCAAGAACTCGAAACAATGAGTCACCGAGTCTAGCTCGAGTGAACTCTGTCACATATAACCAGGGTCTAGTTCCTCCTAATTTGGAATCTTTTTTCTTATAAAGAATCTTTTTATAGTGGGTCTTTCAATATTGTATCCGTTTCTATTATGTTTGACTATTCTATAATAATATTGTTTCGTTATTCTGTCTGGTTGAATCCCGATTTTTCTCTACTCTTCTATTCCAACAACCATACAAGTTTGCCTAATTTAGACTCAGCTAAGAGGAATGAGCGATGAAATGACTCGAAAACTTGGTGATGCGGCACCTTATTATGCACACTGCCGTTTTGTATTGGTCTAATTTATACTTCGATGGGCGATAAGAAGAGAGGATTAAAATTCTACATGATTGCAACACTTTTGAATCCAACGGATGCTTACTTGTGGAAAAATCCCGTCACACGATCAATGTAAGATGCTATGTTACTCGTATTTCAATCTCTCTTTATTTTCATTTGCAAAATTTGCATAGAAACAAGATACACGACAAATCCCCTGAACTTAGGCTAAATTACAAAAGTACTCTACTTATTCATAATCACATAAAAAACCTGACGTTTGTTTGAACAATTTCAATATAGGGTAATACTGACTTTAAACAATTTCAGATTTTTTTCTTGAACTCTTCACATATTTAACAGAAGAGTTTATTAGACTTCATACATTCTTTGTAAAAAAACTTGGTCAACAGCTAGTCGGAGGAGGATTACGGATATATGTGTTTTACGTTATTCAACCTAAGTTCAAGGATGTTTTCATAATTTACCCTTTGTGTTCGTAAAGCAATAATAGCAGATCCAACAGATATCGGATTTTGGTTTCGTCGAGCTTTATAAGGTCGACTGTTTTCGACGCTTTCGACGCACTCTGCAAAAATGTCTCGACATATATAGCTGGAATAACCTCTCGTTTCTTCCTAGAAAACTAAATAAACTGATTTAACAGTTAAACAACATACTACACTCGAAGTTTACACACACACGCACACATCCACATGGATGTGTGTTTTCGACATATCCAGTGTACTTCACTTCATCCTCCTACCTGAACATCTAATAGACCAATGATCTAGCATCATCAAATCTTGAAATTTGATTTAATAGTGAGCAAAAAAAATAACACACACACACACACACACACACACACACACACATATATATATATATGTATATATACATATATATATTTATATGAAAAATAATCCCTACTCAGATATTCAAGTGCTCCTCCCTAGGCAAGCTCTGCACAGTATCCGACCACCGCCCCGGAGAATGATCGCTACTAGTATTCGAAGACAAGTGATTCCCCTCCGCCCTAGCTTCTCCGATCATCCTCAGAACCTCCCTAACCGGCGGCCGATTCTCCGGCGAAAGGTTCACGCACTCCATCGCGATATTCAAAAGCGCACCGACTTTCTCCTCCGAAACGGGCTCGTCGCTCGACCCGGTTTCCTCGTCGCGGACGGATCTCACCCATTTAGGTATATCCGGCCCGTGTTCCTGGACCAAATCTTGGAACGGGGTTTTTCCGGTTAGGAGCTCCAGTAGGAGGACTCCGAAGCTGTAGACGTCGGCTTGTTGGGTTAGCGGCCTGCGGGGGTCCCGGCATTCGGGTGCCCGGTAGAAGAGGGAGGAGGCCCCGCTGGATTCTTCTTGCGGGTCCGGGTTTCTAAACGGGCTTAGCCCGTAATCGGTTAGGCAGGACTCAAATTCGGGCCCTAAGAGGACGTTTGTGGACTTGAGGTTGCCGTGTGTTAGGCCCGGGTTTTGATGGATGTAGAGCAACCCTGTGGCTAAGTCCTGTGCTATTTTCAGACAGGATGTCCAGTGGAGCGGCTTTGATCCGCCTGTCGTTCTTGATCCTGCACATGCAGTTAAGAAAAAACCGCGTCGTAAGAGTAAATTACGAAAATACCCCTGAACTTGAGCTAAATTGCAAAAACCCTCACTTATCCATTATTTGCATTTAGTACCCCTGTGTTATACTGCATTGCTAAAAAACCCCGCATGTAATAAACATTAGCAAAAAGAACCCGTGCGTTGCATTTTTTCGGCACACAATCCCCTAAACAGTACATCTCTTTAGGGGCTAGTTTGCTAATAAAATTGAATCTACGGGCGATTTTGCTAATAGTTATAACACGGGAAGTTTTTTGACAGTCAGAGTAAATGCGGGGGCGGGGCGCTAAATGCAGTAGAGCCGTAATTTCAGTTCAACGATTTCACTCAAGTTACCTTATTTACGAGTAATCATAAAAGCTAAAACCTCTTCCTATCCGCAAAACGAAACCGACGCCAACGAAAAATTCTATTGTGAATATCAAATCCGAACTATTCATTTTAGTTCTGATTTCAAGGTTTGTGTCTCTTGTTTGATGAGTTAGATTGAAAGTACATTTTACTCAAAAATAAATCTCTTAACATATGAAGCTACCGATCCTATCTAAGCAAAATATATAAACCTCGATGATTCTATTATCTAATATTTTTTTCACAA